CAGCCTTTAAAATCAAACCACCAACCTAAAAAAAATAGAAAAAACAATAATAAGCCACTGGATCTAGAAGCTTATCGATTAAAGATTGATGCACACCACTAGATTTGGGATTGATGTCGGAAAACTGAGTTTCAATAGACCAGCAAGATCGAGATAAGGTAAATCGTTTCAATTGGGTGAGAATAAAGAAGAAAAGAGACCGAAAGAAAAAGATACTTATCGATTGGGTACTGAGCACACCACTGGATTTGGGATTGATGTTGGAAAACTGAGCTTCAATAGAGCAGCAAGATTAGGATAAGCAAAGCAGTACTTTTTAGGTACGAATCAAGAAGAAAAGAGACCCAAAGAAGGAGATACTTGCCGATTGGGGCTGAGCACACCACTAGATTTGGGATTAATGTAAGAAATTGGGCTTCAATATAGCAGCAAGACCGGGATAAGCAAAGCGAAAGTACTACTTGGGTGAGAATGAAGAAGAAAGGAGACCGAAAGAAGGAGATGTAAGTGATGGCAAATAAATTGGAACAGAGGAAATCGACAGATGAAGAAGATAAGAATAAGGAAAAAAAAGGGTTTGGGTTTTAAATGAGGAGGTATATATAGTGGTTTAGTCATAAATTTATTAAAATATAAGGGTAAAATAGATAAAATTGGCCAATTTCATTAAAAGGAAATGGAAGCTCCCGCAAAAGCTACAAATTCTTGCTTCTCAATTTTCAAAAGGTGGAAGCTAATTTTTGCTTTTCAAGAGTTGAAGCCAATCTCAAAAGTTAGGGTGTTTGGTGTAGCTAGACCTTTTGGACTCCAAAAGGTCTTCCCACCAGCTGCACCAAACACCCACTAATGCCAGTTGAAAATTTTCTTTTTATCTATACATAACTTTTGCTTAGCCACTTAATCAAAATGAGAATTTTAATTAGCATTCATTTGCTATGTTAAATTTTTACCTTAACTTTGGTCTTAAAATCAAAAGGTTAAATTAATCCTACAATTATTAAACAGATCCAGTATAACATATTAACTAAAATCAATATAATTATAATTAGTGAATAATTTTTATATTATATAATTGAGAGAAAAACATAGCAAAAACAATCCTAAAGAACAACATTTACTTGCTCTAAAAATTGGTGTAAAAATGAGGTAGAAAGAATGCATTAGAGCTTTGCTTTTCTCATTTTCATTTTTCATATTATCTTGGTGATTAAAAAAGAACAAGGAAAGACAAATTGGGAAACACCAAACTACTAGTTTGTTCTTGTCATATTTGTTCCTACAATTACAATACATTTAAATTTAACAATATCATATTATTTACCAACCAAATCTTATTTGTTCCACCTCTTAGTTCAATTGATCATTAGCTGTAACATTTAAAGTTTTCTATATAATTTAAATTTATGAATGAAATTCTAAAGTACTATACATATATCAAGTGTAGGAAACCTCACCATATCAGGTTCTATAGTTGCAACTAAGGATAATAATTCTACAATAGAAACTTTTGTGTTAAGAACTTATAGCATGGAGGTAAATCCTATCTAAATCCCTTGATTAATTCATAGGGATCATAATTTTTGGAGGGAATGACATGATTTACACCAAATTTATTTTCAATCACCTCACAAGCCAAAAAGAATTAGAGAGAAACATGCATGTCTACACCACCTAGCCTTTTGCACAATCAATTTAATTACAAAAGGCAACTTGAAAAATTAACTTAACAACCACTAAGATCATTTCATATTATCGAATAGAATATTGCAATTGGAATTTAATATAACTTAAAAAATATGCAATATTAGGGTATTAAAGATGACTTTTAAAATTTAGAATCTTAACAACTACTTTCACAAACCAAACTAATCTTTCATAGACCTAGTGTATGTTGTACCTATGATTTTGATGATTACAAAACACTTTTGAGTGACTAATTGGTTTATTTAAGTGTGTAATTAAGTTGTTAAAAAATTACAATTAAACTTGGATTGCACTAAAAATAGACCAAAAGGATTCAAAATGTGCAGAGAGCCGGCTCTTAAAATCTACAGTCAGCTCTGGTGAAATGGAAGTGCAGAGAGCCGGCTCTGGAAGCTGTAGCCAGCTCTACGGGCAAAAATTTGAAGACCGTTGTTTGGCATGCGCGGAGAAAAGACGCAAAGCCGGCTCCAACTTTATAGCCGGCTGTGAGGGTGCATTTAATGCACAACGGTCGACTCTTTTGAATGTATTTAAAATCGAAATTCCAAAGCCGGCTCAAAGTCTTGAGCTGGCTCTCGAGGAAAACAAAATGGCTTGCAAACCCGGATAGTCAGCTCTGGAAGTGTAAGCCGACTGTGCAGAGCCGGCTCTCCTGACAGTTCTGCAACTCAAGCCATGCGTCCTACAAAGCATTTAATGACCCCCAACGGCTAGAAACGGCTATTTTCGAGCAAGGGGCTATAAATATGGATCTGAAGAAGTTTGGATTACATAACATTGCATATCTTTACCTACCTACTTGAGCTTAAACTTGAGTTTTTGATATTTGAGTGATCATTGCTTGTAATCCTCTTCTTGTGCTATTAGTGAGTGATCTTGGGGGTGTGTTGATTCCTTCAAGAGTGATCTATTGGGAAGATTTGTGGGGTTTATCTTGTAAAGGGGTGAGATTGGAGAGAAACACCCTTATTCTTGTAAAAAGATTGAGTGGCTCCTTTAAGCCACCCTTGTTGTTGTTAGTGGAGAGTGTGGAGGAAATCCTTGGTGAGTGAAGCCAAGGTAGAGGACTAGGCTCCAAGTGGTTGGACTGAACCTCTATAAATCATTGAGCAAGCTCTTCTTCTCTACTCTCTTTAATTTTGGTTTTGTGGTTGTAAAAAATGAGAGAATTTTTTGGAACTCCAATTCACCCCCCTCTTGGAGTACTTTGAGTCAATAGTGTAAATTATTCTTCATATTTAATTCAATTACAAAAGCATATTCCAATCTTCAAGAGAAGTGCAAATAAAGAAATAGTATTGCATCATAATTGGTTGTCATACCTATAACCCTTAACTTCTAACAAAATATTAGTAACTAAAAAAGATAGGGTTTTTAGGAAATGGGAATGAGAATGTGCTTGATTGCTTAAAAAAGAACAATTTTGATCGAAGTGTTCTTATTAAGTACAAAATCATTCAAGTATTGAATTCATTAAAAAATATACTACACATAAAAACTATGTAACATAACATCATCGCAAAATTACAATGTAACACAGTAATAAGTTGATTAACAAAAGACATCTAACAACAATAAAATCAAATTAGGAATCATATTACACATGCTAGTGAGAGATTTTTAAATTAAAATTTTATTTCATTCTAAGCATGTTTAGTAGTTGCTCAAACCAAACAAATTTATAAACCAATAAGGCATTAAAATGATCAAAATGAGATAAAAAAATAGCTGGTAATAATTCAATTGATAATGATTTAGCTTTTTAGTATATAGTAACCAATATTAGAGTGAAGCAAAGTAGTTTATAGTCTAGACATTGTTACTAATAGGTTTGTTAAATTCATGATTCTAGTTTAAGTTTTTATCGATTTCACATCATTCTAGCATTTGTAGTTCTTTTTTAAGTGAATGCAACTTCAGTTTTCTTATAGTAAATTTATCATAATTCCTATTAAAAAAACTAGAAAATAAAAGATAAATTTCAAAATATACAATGTAAAATTACTTGCAATTCACTTCAACATCCCAGTGAATTGCTTTATATGATTATTCAATTGAATTTCCTAAAATTCATCATATAATAACTTTCAAATGACTTTACTTTATGTTAATGTGACATAAATTAGCACCATAAAATCCACACTAACACAATCCAAAACCAAAAAAAAAAAAAAAAAAAAA